TAGGTGATCTTATACAAGTGATGCCTTAGGAGGCCTGCAGTGTGCTTCCCTCAGTTCTGAATGTTCCAGGGGTGACCCGCATGTGGGCTACGTGTATCCTGCAGTTGTGGTGTGTTTGCTCTCCCTGTAGGTGCCTAGGGAGGCTGAGTTATGCTCCTGGCCGGCTGTTGTAATGCTCAGCTGCTTGTAGTTGTTGTGGGCCCTTCAATCTCTTTATCGGGTGTGGGAAGCCCCAGCACAGTTGGCTGCAAGTTCTAATAGCACATTTGTGTTGCAGTATTTCTTTTAAGTGTGTAGGCCCCCAGCGTGGTAGGTTGTTAAGGCTCAAGGGCTTACAATTGCTATAAGCCTCCAGCCTTTAGGTCTCTTGTCAGCTCTCTGAGGATTGCAGCTGGCTGGGGCTGGCCTCAGGCACAGGAGCACCCAATTTTTTCAGGCTTTGGAAGGTGGGGCAAACCCCCTATGTGGGTCTTTGAGAAGCACAAGTCTTCTGCAGCTGACAAGCCCTGCGTCCCACAGGTCCACATACACAGTCAACACAGTCATGCCCCGTGTGTGCGCCCCGACCTCCTGAAGTGGACACAGTCTCTCCACGGCAGGAGCCCCACACACTCCACCACTGCCCCACACTCTCCACCTGCTCCTTGTGCACGCCCTGCCCCACTGAAGTGGGCTCAGTCGCCAGGCTGCAGAGAATCCAGTCACCAATCTATGCAGGCCCACAAGTTTTCTGAGGGCTTGTTGTTGGGTGGGGCCAGTCCCTAGAGTGGGCTGCCCACCCTGGCTGAGCTGGATTAAATCGGTGCTCTAGTGGGTGGGGCACACCCTGGGCTAGCAGGCCTCAGGGAGAACTCCAATGGCGTCTGTGTCAGCATGCCCACATCAGACCACAACAATGGCCACCGCCAATGTCCCAGTCCCTGGAGAGGTCTCACCTCTCACTGCAATGCACTCAGAGCCTATCAGGTGAGTCTCTTTTCACCAAGGCACTGTGCACCTTTCTTTCTGGTGATTTTAGGTTGCTTTCTGAAACGAGTGAGTTTGCGCGTGGGCCCTTTATGAGCCGGTTTTAATTTCTTTGTCAACCAGCTTTTCTGGGGGTACTCCCCAATGTTTTAGTAGGAGGCAAAGTCAGATATTATGCCACTCACCTCGATTGTGCTGGGTCCACGAAGTGTCTACAGCGGGGGTGCTCCCCGGCTCAGGGCCCTGCTCCTCCAGGGAGAGCTGCGTACCTCTGGGCTGCTCCCGGTGGCTGTGAGGCACTGCAGCTTGTGAAGGCGGCGTTTTTTCTCTCCAGAAGGGAGTTTCTGCCTCTTCCACCTCAATTAGGATTGTCCCTTGTTGCAGGAGTTCCTCTTATCCAGTTTTCACTTCTGTCTCAGGGGTAATTTTTCCATGAGTAGTTGTAAATTGGCTGTGTCCGTGGGAGGAGGTGAGTTCAGAGTCTGTTTACGCCACCATCTTGACTTCAATCTTTGTAATATTTTATGTAGAGAGAATAGAAAGATAATTCCAACCAATTAAAAATTGATTTTTAATAGTTTTGGAATGCTTCTTTCAGTATCACTGCTCATCATTGGTAATTTCACCTGTAAATTATTCATAAAAATATTAGAATTCTTAAATTTTGGAAAAACTCCTACACATTTCTTTCACGTATGAGTTATAAGATTTTAGGACATTTGACGTTAGTTGTGTGTGTGTAGACACTCAACAACTTAATCTTAAATGTTCTTTGAATTGATAAACTCATTAACCATTTATCATCAGTTTTATGTTGGTCCCCACATGTTTGTGTCAGCCTGGCAGGTGGTCGGAGTATTACTGGAAACCATTCCTACTGGTACTGTTGTAATAACCAGACACAGAAATGACTGAAAACCACACAGATATAACCCACTGAATCCTAATTCAATGCCCCTCCTTCACAAGTTCCTCTTAGCCAAGTCACCAGAATTCCCACAGCCACTCCCAATGTCACCAAACTCCAGGGGACATGTGATGGAAGAAGTCCTAGTGGAGAAAGACAGTGATATTAACTGATTGCAGCTTAACCTACTTTTGCAAATTTTGCAAAAATACATGAGCATGTGACTCTTTTACTAGGGCCTTTCTCAGGGCCCTGGAATGGACTTGTGCAAGCAAGGAGCCCTCACATACAAGCGTTATTAGCTCTGTGGTAAATTTACATATGAAGATTTACTCAAATTTAGCTGGGCCTACTTCCATGGGCAGTGGCATGCTCGGCTTCCCATCAGTAGTTGCTAAAGGTTGAGAAATGACTGGGAGTTCAATCCACCTCGGTTGCCCAATGTTTCCTCAGCTTGAAAATCTTGCCAGTTTTGAGTTCTGTTGCTTCACATTCCCACCTTCATACAGTAGATGAAAATTAAGTGAAGGTTTAAGGAGTTTGTCCCTAAGAGGGAAAAGGTTTTGGTTGGGCTTTTTCATCCATAGTAGAAAGGGCTTCCCTTCGGTTCTCCAGAGCCGCTGTCTACATAAATAATTTGAATCACCCCGGATCAATACGTCAGCACCATTTCGACAGCCTGCTCTTTTGCAGTTCCACAAAAGAAATACTGTGCTGGCCAGCATGAGTGATTAGCTCATCTGGCTGCCCCTCTAGAACTAGAGCTTGGCCTTGAGGCTTCAGGACAACCTGATAGGCAGGAGTCCTAGTGCTCCTTGGAGCATCTGATGGGTCCCATGTGTGGAGTAGAGGATTGGAGGGAACCCTGAAAGGGAGAAACCGGGACTGGGACTGAGGTCCGTGCAGGTCAAAGTCCAGGCATGGAGAACCCCACCTGAATGACACTGTTGGCCCCTGGCCAGTGCTGGATACCAGAGAGAGACTTAAAAATTTTTGAGGAAGGCCTTCAAAGCATAGGGCCCCCTGAGGTGCCTCTGCTGGAGTCTAAAGGCGGCACTGATAGAGAACGTACTGTCAGGACTCTTTTTTTTTTTTGTTCTAATGTAGTAATGACTGTGAAGCATACAAAGACAGAACCTGCTGGAAAAGCAAAGTTTTCCCTAAAATTTTTCACTGTCATTTTAATTGGTCATTTTAAATGATTTCCTTAGAGAATGTGATGATTTAACGTTAATTTAAAAAGTAGTAAGCGTGTTTTGTCTTTGGTGATGAAATACGTTAATATTTTGACTCCAGCCACTCACCCACTGTTCTTCCAACCTCATCTCCCTGGTGGGACCTTCTCTCTAGTCTTCTCTACGTGCTCCCATTCCTGTCATCCTCATTTCATTGGTCCTTTGTGGACATTCCTGGGTGTTATTTGTTAAAGATTTGTTAGGATTGATAACTTCAATGTCCACTGTCCCGTGCATGTTTAGGAAGTAGGGATGATGTTGGTAAATTGAAACCCACCGTGGGTAAGTGGATGCTCAGATCCTCTGACTAGTTTCTCCCTCTTTTGTTTGTGCTCTCCTTCTCATTGTGTCTGTCTTGCCCCCTCCCAGAGTAGAGCGTTTGTTCTTGCATATGATGATGTATGAAGAATGCTTGAAGGAAGTTAGTTTGGAGAATATAAGATTTAAGGAAGACATGTGAGCTTCAACTATCTGAAGGGTCATCGTGTGGAAGAGAAGAATCTCTTATTCTTTGTGACCCCAAGAAGTTAAATTGGGTCAGTGGGTGGGCATTTGAAGAAGATTCAATCCCAGAGGGAAAAAACCTCTCTCTTGTGGTTGTAGGAGATAGAATGAGGTACCTTTTGGTGACCCCGTGGTAGAGATGTTAGGGACTAGATTCAGACATTGGTTGGATTTGGAGTTCATTCTTCTATAAGTTGAAAAGAAGTACAAGAAAACTCGGTAACATCCCATGGTTAGATACCCTCACAGAGTAAGGGCAGCCCTCTTATTTGATTTTAACTTGCTCTCCTAGGTCCAAATGGACCTCCCTCCTGGAAACTGTACCCTGAGTCTTTGACTCTTGTGAGCTGTATTCACCCTTATATGTTTAGCCCTTGTATGCTCTGCTGTCATTCCCTGTCAAGGACCCCATTCTCTCTGCTGATGTTGACTAACTCCTTTCATCCATTGGCTCCTGGTAGTCATGGCCTATCTAATTATCACCTTGCCTAGGGCTCGCTCATCTGTATGTGGCTCAAAACAGGAGTTAATGTGTGCGCTAATCCTTCCTGATATCTGTGATTCCCTGAATCTATGACTCTTGCCTTATTTGGTTTGGGGATCTCAGTGTTTGCCTTGACTGGACGGTAGATCTCACTGAGGGGTTGGATCATGGAATAATCTCACCACCATGCCCTTCCTTGATCTTTTCTCTTTCATTCTTTCCTTCATAGAATATTAGATTTACAACAGATTCTTAGGAAATGCATTTTGACCTGCCTGGCTTGACTAAACCTGTCCTAATTTACACTGTCTTCTCCTAGCTTTGTTCTCCTTTTCCCCCAGTCCAATGCTTTATTGCTGCCAGCGAGGCCATTGAGCAACGCTTAGCTCTGCCATAGGCTCTCAGATCATAAGAGGATGCCAATCCCTGTTTGAATCCATGTCATTCCTGTATGTTTTAATGATAAATTATCCCCTAAAGGAGAAAGAATATATTTTTAATGAGGCCTTTGGAAATAATGTCTTGCTTTCATTACGAGAAAAAAATGAAGTTTTGTGGATTTGTATATTGTAAAATATTTTACTACATGGAATCTACCCTTCATTTTTTAAAAAACAGAACTATAGAGAAAAGTGTGATAAAACAATTAAGTTCATTCATTCTCTCTCAAGTGACCTGGACTTAGCCTTTCATGTCCAGAGAAAAGCTGGGCTGTGCCCCCAGCAGTAGGAGTGAAAAACTAACCATGCCAGTCACCCACAGCTAAGTTGATTTCAACCCTCACCCATGTCATCTCATGGGAGCAGCCTGGACTCCTCAGCTGCTAGTCTGTACCTATCAGTTATGGTCCATGCTCTTTGCTGAGCCTTTGTCTTCCTGGACCAAGATCCTTAACCTTTGTCACATCACGGACTTGGAGCATCTGCTCGATCACCTGGCAGAAGTGACACCAGCTCTGGAGTACCTCAGCCTGTTGGGTAATGTGGCATGTCCCAATGAGCTGGTCAGCTTGGAAAAGGATGAGGAAGACTACAAGAGGTACAGGTGAGTATCTACGGGTTTGAGCATGGTGGGAGAAGGAAAAAATAGCATCTTTGGGGGGGTTAGATACTATGGGGTGCATAGTAGATGTTTGTAAATTTCAGTGGACTCCCCATGATAATGTTACACTTTCACTGTTGCATAACCTATAGCCATTGTTTCCCTTCATTAAGGTGACAGGAGCCAAGAAACGTGAAAAGCTGTTGGGTGGTCTACATCAGGGGTTGACAAACTTTTTTTGTAAAGGACTGGATAATAAATATTTTTGGCTTTGAAGATCATGTGCTTTCTGTTGCAACTTATTCAACTCTTCTGTTATAGTGCAGAAGTAGCCATAAGCAATTTGTAAATGAATGAGTATGGCTGTGTCCCAATAAACTTTGTTTACAAAAACAGGCAGCAGGCCAGATTTGACCATGTGCTGTATTTTGCTGACCCCTGCTCTGTGTTGTAAGATCTTTCTGTGGTCTGCCTCATTGTTACCTTTTGGAGAGAGACCACTTCCCACCAAAGTTTAGGAAGCATATATACAATCCCAAGAGGAGGTCCCACAAGGCCCATAACTTTGTTCCACAAAGGTATGTCTCAGTGTCCACCAACCATGTGCTTTGAGGGGCTCAAGTAGAAATGCTTTTCTTTCTTCTCTCTTCTTCTGAACCATCTGCTTTGAAATACCTGATCCAAGTTCACCTCTCTTAGGAAGTCTTCTTGATCTTAACTATTTTACTAAACTCATTTTATTTTTTTCTTCATTTTGAATTCTGTATGCTCTCATTTTTGATTGTTGTTTTGTAAATTTTTTAATGATCTTTTCATAAGTGTAGCCTCTCTGTCCATTTTGATGTAAGCTCTCATTAACATCCCACCTGAATCAGTGTAGAAGGAGGGAGGGAGGGAGGGAGGGAGGGAAGGAAGGAAGGAAGGAAGGAAGGAAGGAAGGAAGGAGGAAATATAAGGCAGGTAGGGCTACTGGAAAATAAATTTGGAAGGATTGGATAAAGAGGATAATGATTTGAGAGGAACTTGTTCTATTGGGACTCAGATTTTTAAATCTGTGGTGACCCATGAAGGAATGTAGTTGGGGGCATTCATTTTCTATAAAGGCAAAGCTGTAAGAAATACTGAAAGCTATTGAACCCTGTATATTTAAAAAATATACACACACGTATAAGTAAGGCTACAATAGAAATTCAGTTATATTTCTTTATTGAGAAGAATTTTGTATCTTTAAGCTTATTTTCTAGGTTTGTTGATTAATTTTGTAAGGATCTTAGACTTTTTAAACCATCTTATAATAAAGCTGTAACTCTGCTTTTAAAAAAGTGTGTTAAATTTTTCTCCATTTGGAGTGTGATAAAGTCTATTTGAATGTGAGTTCTATTAGGAGAAATATGGTTAATGTCCAGCAGGTGAATAGTTACAAATTTCTAAATCAACCCTTTGAGTTGCTTAATCACTTAGAATTCAATTTGCTTCTTTAACACTCTTATCAACTTTGAAGCATTTGACAGCCTGATACCGGGTATGAAAGGGTCACTTAAAACGTATTGTATCTGCTTGCAGCAACTTATTTATAAGACATGTCTTGGAAGGGTCAAGCAGGTCCAAGGAATTTCTCTCAATCAACATTTTTAGTAAACCAAGCATTGTTTGGGAAATTCTCATTTGTTTTCTGACTTCTTTCTTTAGATTTCTGAGTTTAATTCTTTAAAATAGTCTGATAAGTTATATATATATGTATATGTGTGCATGTACATATATGTGTGTCTATTGTATATATGTGTATATATATGTGTGTGTGTGTATGTACACACATCCACACACGTGTTCATTTATTCCTGGAGCTTTATGTGAATCGAACTGTAGGCACATTTTTGCTGTTTTTTTCTAGAATGAGAGAAGTAGAGTGAGGAAAGCCTCCATTTCGACCTTATTCTATTCAGTCTCAAATAGAAGTCTTATAAGGTAGTAAAAGGAAAAGAAAAAGCTAGTACGATTTTGTTGTTATTGTTAACTGGTCACATTAGCAAAAATACTAAGACCCATAGAGTAGGCAGTCAGATCAGAAGATCTCATGTGGAGTCCAGCTTTGCCAGTGGGACCTTTAAAATGAGGAGGACAGTCTAGTTCAGTGGCCTTCAGCCAAGGCATTTTGATTCAGTTAGTGGCAAATGCAAAAAAAATAGTCGATAGGTGATTCTGCTGCTCAATTAAGAACTATTGGACTAAGTGGTATTTAAAATCCCTCTTGGCTCTAGCATTCTGAGATATTCTTCTCCCAACCAGTTACAGTTCTTCCTTTACCATCTCACCCATTTTATATATTCCATCTTGTATATTTCTGTCACTACTTTGTATATGTCAACATCCAGAGAATGGCTTCCAGTACGTAAGGGCTGCATCTTCTTGCCCTTTGAAGCTTCATCAATACCTAAAGTAGCACGGCCCATGGAATAGGGGCTTGGTAACTGTTTGCTAGAGCCGGCTTGAAATTACCCTACCTTCTGGGGAACTGAGTACTTACAGAGTGATGCAGGGCCCTTTGGGAACCTCAGATGCCCACTGCCTATTTGGAATCAGATTCATTTGGACGTCAACAATGCAGTTAACAAGCAAGGGACTATCTTTCAGACTTACTCCAAGTGCTAGTGTTGGGTCATGGTTCTCTAGGGAGGACTTGATTCTAGAGGAGTGATCCATCTCATGGGCTGGCCTGGGTACCCTCCAAGCTTGTCCTCCCCACTCTAGGTCTGTTTTCCGGGAAGGTGTTGAGGAATGGGGCTGGGAAGGTTGTTTGTTAGTGCCCATGTGGTAAAGTTGCCATGAGGAACTGGATTCTAGAGGCCACACACGGCCAAAATCACACCTAATTAAAATTACCTTAGAAAATCCATAAGTTACCTACAATAATGGCAAGATGCTCATCCTCTGAGAGAAATAGGAACTAAGAACAGTGGAGGGAACATTAAATGTGTGCCCATCCACTTACACATTCACTGCACGGCATCTGATGGTTGAGTGGAATGGCAGGCCTCTTCTCTAGCAATTCTAAATTTTTTATTCGTTTTGTTTTTTTATTTTTTATTTCTGGTTTGACAAGCACTCTCACACTTGCGTTTGGATGAGATAAATGTGTGTATGATGCAGTTCTGTTCTGTGGTCTGTAAGCAGCTCTGCTTTGTTCATCCTGGAGTTTGTGCTTCATTTGCCACTGAGAAGTATTAAGAGTTTCACAATAAGACTTTTGAATCCAGGGTTCCTGTGGCGTTTGGCTTTCTACAAAGCAATGCAGCCACCTTTTTTTTTTCCCCCTCTGGTAAAATATTTTCTTGGCCCTTTATCCACAAAGCGTGGGGTCTGTCTTCCTTCTAGCTGCTACCCAGAGCCTAATAGTAGGGCCTCTATGTAAATTTATGTGACATTTTCACTAGAAAATTGCTTAAAAAATGAATGATATTTCTACAGTTTACTGTTTTTCACCTTAAGTACATTTTCTGACAATATGTCTTCTATTAATCATTTAAGCAATAGTAGGAGCCTTAAAGGAGTATATTCAGACGCAAGAACCCATGGTTCATTTAGTGCTGTCTAAAAAAATTTCTTATTGATTGGCATCCTCTGTGGTTATGTGATGTAATATTTATAATATGTCACCCAGCCATACATCAAAATGAGTATGTCTGTTGTTTCATTTCCATGGGCGATGTTGATTTCAGAGAGGTCAGCCCAGTTTTAGGTCACGTTGTGGCCAGCCACTGGACCAGAAATGGGAAGTGACTAGATTTATGGAGTTATTGGAAATGTCATCACAGATGCTTCGATTTCTGCTGATTATTTCCTCCCCTCCCCCCACGCTACTCCCTTTCCTTTCTCACTTACCCCCTGTGCACCCAGGTGGATTATCTTGGCACACATCCCCACAGTAAAATGGGCTCATTAAATCTGTATGTAAGCATAAACATACTACCAAGTTGTTGAGCAGTGCCCTGGTCCTGCTGGGGCAGGAGCAAGACCTTGCCTGGAGTTTCTCTTCACCATTCATCATAGTTCATGGCTGAGAAATGTCCATTGCCATGTTATTATAGGAGCTTAAACCTGCCCATGCTTTGCTGTGTGTACACACTGTGCAGCTATTTTCGGATGAATGTTGAATGGAGATGAATGTGATAACCGATAGCCTTTAGGATTTGAGCAGGAAGAGAGTGGAGGGGCAGAGCTTGGCCTGGGAGACCACCATCATACTAAGAAAACACTTGGGGCTTCCTGTGGACTTCAACACTGGCCAAAAAATGAATCAAGGATGGGAAACTTGGGTACCCAGTATGGTCTATTTCTGATCTTTCTTTTCTTTTTTTTCCAATTGTGGTAACATTGGTTTATAACATTGTATAAATTTCAGGTATACATCATTATACTTCTATTTCTGCATAGATTACATCATGTTCACCACCCAAAGACTAATTGCAATCTGTCACCACAGACCTGTCCTAATCATCCCTTTCACCCTCCTCCCTCCCTCCTTCCCCTCTGGTAACCACCAACCCAATCTCTGTCTCTATGTGTTTGTTTGTTGGTGTTTTTATCTTCTACTTATGAGTGAGAGCATATGGTATTTGACCTTCTCCCTCTGACTTATTTCACTTTGCATAATACCCTCAAGGTCCATCCATGTTGTCAGAAATGGCTGGATTTCATCGTTTCTTATGGCTGAGTAGTATTGCATTGTGTATATATACCACATCTTCTTTATCCATTCATCCCTTGATGGGCACTTAGGTTGCTCCCAAGTCTTGGCTAATGTGAATAATGTTGCAGTGAACACAGGGGTGTGTGTATCCTTACACATTCCTGTTTTCCTGTTCTTCGGATAAATACCCAGCAGTGGAATAGCTGGATCGTGTGGTAGTTCTATTGTTAATTTTTTGAGGAATCTCCATACAGTTTTCTTGTCTTTCTTTACCATTTTTTTTTTCTTTTTCTTAGTGCAGGAAAGACAGTGGAGT